GTTGGAGGCCATCGCTCTTAGGTTGGAGGCCATCGCTTCTAGGTTGGAGGCCATCGCTTCTAGGTTGGAGGCCATCGCTCTTTGGTTGGGGGCATCGCTCTTAGGTTGGAGGCCATCGCTTCTAGGTTGAAGGCCATTGCTTCTAGGTTGGAGGCCATACAGTTTCGGAACCGGTCCCAACACTTCGCAGTGGAACTGCTACTTTGTCGCAGCCGAGAAGCCAGATCATTTAGCATGACCGTCATCAACTTGCACAGCACACCTGAACGGTATAGACAGAAAATGAAGCAATATCGCATCCTCAACTAATCTTTGTGGGTTGGATTGGTGGATATTTGTCCATTTAGTCTGCAATTTCATCACCCCAGCTACCACCTAGGTGGTGGTGAGATTGATCATCCCTCATCCTTGAACCTGCCTTTCTCTCAACCAGTGTCAGGAATTGAATCCAAAGCTCCATCAAATGTCACTCAATCGTCCGCCTATGACCGTGAAGGTTGTGGCTGACACCATCTTCCGCAGGTGAAACCTGAGGCATCCGCGACGGTCCATGACCCGGGGTCGTCGTCATGCCGGTGGTCAAGCGGAGTCTGAGACTGATGTCCCTTGTGGTTCTTGAGGGGACCAGGATCATTATCCAACCGAGATACGGAGACTTCTTCTGAGAGTGCCACCCTCAGACCTCCAGTCGCCTCGAAGCCTTGGGTCCCACGCCCAGCATAGGAGATTGCAACTCCTCAGGTGAGTGGCACAAGTGATTGGCACGACTGATTCTTGGGCAACATTGGATTTAAGCTTGAGAAAGAATGATTTTAGACTTTAGTGCTTCAGCATCCAAGCCCACGCAACGACCACAACACTTTGGTACCGTTCGCCCTTTGGTGGAAGTCGATGAACTGCGACTTTGTTGGCACAAGACCTAACAACTTTCGGAAGAACAAACTTCGAGAAGGAACTCCTCTGGCTTCTTCAGACTCCAAAATTCAGCCGGCGACCGATCGTCATATTTGCCCAAGCTCCGACTACGCAAGAGAGGGCCACGACTGCAACGTGTCGCCATGTCCAGTCCACCTCCACACGAGGAATCTAGACAAAAAAAATTGTTGTTGTTGACAAAAAATGTGCATGTATGCTTCCCACACTTGAAACATTGAACAAGTGCCAAAACTTGCAAGCCATTCATAGAACAAACATGAACAAACCGATGCCGAATAAATCCCTCCATTGTTCTCTTTCTCTTCTTGTGTCCCTATGAGAAAAAACCGTCAGCGTCTCATGGGGGTTGTTTGGTCTTTTGCGCCTTGAGAAAGCCTCCAAAGCCCATAAAGAAGGAGGAGACCAGAACCATGGGGATCGACCTAAGTCGTAACGTCAACTCTGTCGAGTCTGAGCAAGGAGAAAGCGCCGTCGATAACGCATTGAGAACCAATAGGGCTTCATCCGAGCAATCACCTCAGTGTCCCCATCACTAGTAGCTTGGAGGCCATTCGCTAGTAGGTTGGAGGCGTCTTGCACTGTCGACTGAGGCAAAACACGCATTCTCCGAGATCAGTTGGTCCCCCCCCGTTGGTGTGCCGAGCTGCAATGTGTTGTTGTAGTAAACGCGTGTCCAAGTGGACATGGGCACGTTGTCGACCACGAACTTCACAAAGACCATCTCGGTAACTATGAAGACCTTGAATCCAATTGAGGTTAAATCTGGCAAAGATCTTCAAGTTTGTCTTTTTTTCGTTCTTTCTCTCCAAACCCACTGCCGCACAAAGTTCCAAGAATTTCCAAGAAGCAAAGTAGAGAAGAAGCCAGGTATAGCCTTCAATTTTGAAGCCTTCATCGGAGATGACATAGATCACGGCTCCGCCGGCGATGGCCTCAACACAATTAGTGACAGAGCATTGATCTTGTTGTCCTGAAAATCTACGAACCAAATGATCAGTCCGAGCACTTCTTCAAGGAAGTGTGAGCTATCCTGCATCCTACCTATATAGGAGTGTCCGGTACCTAAGAGCTACGACCACTAGCGGCCTACCCCTCCCGCGGCAGCCCTCCGGGCCACGGCCGAGGTGCAAAGAGTGCCAGGGTACCCTGAATCGATGGTAAGCTTCGCCCCAAGGCATAATGCTCCAAGACGGACACCTCTTCAGGCCGGAGAGACATCAATGAGATCGATTCATTGAAAACGCGAAAAGGCAGGGAAGTAGAAAACTTGACCGTTCTGTCAAAATGTGGGAATCAGGCTGAGTATGCACAGGTAAAAACATGTCTGACATTGATGTCTATTGCCCCAAAATTCTCTTTCGTGACAGGTATTTCACTCTGGTGTTTGTCGGAAATCCACGCGCCTGACACGCGATCTCCCTGTTACAGTTGGCTCTCTCTTTTTGAAAGCCTCTTAAGCCTACACGGCTCCTCCTGTGTCACAGCAAGCCCCCCAAGCTTCACAGGCAAGTCACTGCAATGGGAGCACAGGAGCCTTCGGGAGCACAGTCCACGGCAAATGACCAAATCAAGAGTGTAAAGAAATATATAGCTAAAATAACATAAAATAACTAATATACTGTATATCGTTACATGTCCATGAAATCCTCCACAGGGGATTCCCAATGTGACGTTGATGCAGCACCTCTGGCAGCACCTCTGGCAGCACCTCCGGGTCCCGCGCGTGCGACGATCACGGTCTCCACGTTGACAGACTTCAAGGCCGCCGTATTGGCCTCGAAGCTCGAAGCCGTAGTTTCTTGTTACTGGTAGTAAGGCCAGGAGACTTTCTAGTAGCGTCCGATCGCTCCGTTTTCCTCTTAAGGCCTCGGAGCTACGAGGCCTTAACGGGCATCGCGGCATCGCGATCGGAGCGATTGGACGCGACCGAATTAGGGGGCGCGATACACCGCCATACCGACCATCAAAGGGAAAAGAATACACTGCCACATGAATTTTCGACATTTGGTGCATACTTTAAAGGCCAACAGAAAGATTGACTCATCCTCAAGCCCCTCGTGATCTTTCAGGCACAATCAAGTGAAGTACATCTCAGGAATGAAGAACGATAGACGTTTTTGGGGGAAGCAAGAGCCCTAAGAGCCTGTCTTCTACATTCCCTGTCTTCTTCGTTTCTCTTCGGTGGACAGCTCTTGTTTCGGCGCCCGTGCGAGCAAGCACAAGAAGAAAATGAGACATGCCAGGAAGAAGAGCCGTGCTTTGTCGAAGCCTCGGTTCTTGGGCAAAACAATCACGCTCCTGAAGACCGTGTCATCAAGAAAATCCATTGCCAGAACAAGAATGCTGGGACAACGATGTTCATCGGGCCTTCGATAGCCACAATGGTATCTGTTCTGTGGATGCAACCACAACAAAATGTCTGCCGAGTCTGGATGAATGCTACTGATCTGGCACTGGTTACCAAACCTTGAAGAAAAAACGACAACGGCTCTGACCCTCTGTTTCGTCCAAGTGACGGAGTAGCTCGATGTCCGCATCTGGCGTGGTGTACTTGATCACCCGCACCTGGCTCGCTTGGCATGGTCTTTTTGTTGTGGGATCTTGTGGATCAAAGGCTTTGGCACCCAGTGGTTTGTCATTGGCCAGACCGTGCTTTACTTTGGGGTCTTGCATCCTCAGAGCCCACCTTTTGGGTTGACCGGTTGTCCATGTTCCTGCGTGGAAGCAAACCAGCTTTGGCAAGAGAAAGAAGAAGAAAATGCGTGTAATAGGAACTAACTCAACCCTCCAACGTCAAACGTGTTTGTGCTGGTGCCTTTGAAATCACCAATGCATTGGCCAAAGCTTTAGAGGCTCTGGCCAGGCAAAATAGACACCTCTTTGGGTTCAGAGGTTCCCACTGCGGACAGGTCACAGTGAGGGAGGAGCTCAGAAACTGACAGAAGAGGATGAAGGAGGCATCGGGCACGAAGTGCATGGCCACCTGGGGTTACGGAGTCCATGCGTTGGCCGATCAGAAATAACGTCTCATTCGTGAGATGGGTGAGTCAATCATTTTGTGGACTCCAATCCTTTTTGGGAAACCTAATTAGGTGGTGTTTCTTTACTGAACAAATAGAAAACAGTGGTAGCGATTTCTCGGGATGAACAAGCTGAGCAGCTAGAAAAAACAGGCTGCCACAACGACACTTTGTCCCAAGCTTAGACTTCAGCAGCAAAGGCTAACTCCTGTACACAATCACCCGAAAAACCACAGAGAAATTGCTTGACAGTCAGATTTTAAATGGATATTGATAGAATTTGGAAGACCGAATTCAAGACTTGGATTGTCGTGTCTGCTTTGCTTTATTCCAAGACATGTCTTCCCTCTGACCGTCACGTCTTCCCTTCTTTTCCTCGCGCCGTCAGTTGAGCCAAGGCACCTTGTTGATGAGTAACAAGGTGGACGAGCAAGCTGCATAGAAAACCACACTGAGAGCCACCGTTCTCAGTGGTAGGTCCGTCTCACAGGGCTTTCACGATGTGCGCCGAGCGGATCGAACGAGCCGTCCGCCGAAGCTTTGGGAAAAAAAAAGGGGGTCAAAGAGAACAAAAAAAGAAGTAACAACAAGTAATCCCCTAGGTTACTAGTTTCGCCTTAGCCTCCAAGCTAGCGAGCAGCCTCCCACCAACCTGTCCTTGCTACTCGTCGTTTGCAGGCGAAGCCCGGTCGATCCGGCGCATTGCGCGCCGTCCGACTTTGACCCCGACAGGCCTGGTCGACCTTGGACACTTCGGATGCTGGCTTCGCCTGAGCTCACGGAGGCAAAAAACGCTCCAGCGAAGCGCGGAGCGAGGCGAGTGCAGCGGTAGCGAGTGCGAGGCGAGGGTTCCGGTCAAAAGCAAGCTGCGAAAACGCAACTGTAGAGATTCCAAGCACTCGACATCCACAAAGCCATGACCACATCAGTGGGTGAAACATATACAAGTGGACCATGAAAAAAACGGAAAGAACTAGGCTGTGAGACCAAACGGAAGGCAATCGGCACGTGGACGAATCAGTGGATGAAGCACAAAATTGGCTGATCTAAGAATTAAAAAGCTATGTGCCTTTATCCTTTCACTTTCCAGTACTGTTCGCAAGAAAAACAGCAGTGATGGCGTTGGTCTCGCTCCAGCCTCCTCGATATCCATCACATCTACCGTCTTGGAACCTCAACAGAAACTACCCAAGCTCAATATTCCTTTGCTAAGTGAAAGGTTAGTTTATAACTAAGTTCTGCAATGTCAATGTCCCCTTCAACTCCTCTCAGAGAGACTGCCGGCAAAAACTAACCTTTCGACCTTATGGAGCCTCTCACACAACAGATACTGTGAGACTTTTAATTCTAATAGCTTGTTGTTACTACTAGTAAGGCACTTGTTACTACTAGCGTGGCACTTGTTACTACCAGCTTCCTGCCTTCAACAAGGCCCTCCAAAAAAAAATGCCATTGACTAAACGAACATCATGTCGTTGACTCAACGGACCGGCCTATGACCGTCGTCTCTTCATTCTGCTGGACGGGTTCCTTGGCAAATTGGACGGGTTCGTCTCATACACTGCTCTGAGGGTCCTTTGTTCCAAGGATTCTTCCTTGGGTTTTTGCTACCGTTTTGTTCAACCAAGAAACGGCCAATTGGAACACAGAGATGCCAAAAGGATCCAAACAAAATCAGCCTTCTTCTTTTGATGACAGCAACTCGAAAACCTGGCTGCCACGGGTCATAACCAGCAGGCCTCACCATGCCGGCCATATGGCGGGACGTGGCTTTAGACGGCCGTGACCTGTGATTCGTTGGTTCATGTGACCATCCTGCAATTCGTGTGACCACCGTGACCGTAGTCCATCTGTCACCAGATGTCACTAGTCCATGTCTGTCTCGCGTGGCAAGCATGGTGCATGCTGGTCCAATTCACTTGAAGCGCCTTGAACAAAGGAAAGAAGCCAGCAGCGGAAACGCACATGTCCAAGCAAATGCTATTCCACATGAGAGTCGTGTAGCATCACGAAACCGGCAAGAGCCTTCACATTTCTTTTTTCCCAGCTCTTCTCGTATCCAAGAACATGGTGTTCTTAGCAGCAACAATGTAACAAGCGAACACTGCAACGGCTGTCACCTACTGTACTCACTTGTGATCAAACTATTGCTAGGTTGTGGGTGTGGTAAAAGAATAAGAAAAGAAACTGTGGGCTGTTGGTAGTTTCTGTTTCTCACCTCCCTTCCATGAAGGTCAAGGGCATTGAGGTCTTTTCTTGCTCTTCTTTTCATGTCCCAATCACCATGCTGGCTTCAGAACGGGTTGCCTCGGCATCGTCGAACATCAGTCGAGCGCTCGCATCAAGAGAATAAACAAACAATCATCATCACCTGAGGATCCACACAGCACCGACGCTGCGGTCTCTCATGTACAAGGGCACGTCCTGCACCAACGCTGGTGCTACGAAAGGGCTCACCCCCTGTGCTACGCAGTGGTACCCAATGCTACGCAAGGGCTCGCGAGGGCTCGCGTCAAACGTCACGGGAGATGTGCTGTCTTGCACGCTGGATTCATGGGAAACTCTCAGGGTTCATGGAGCAGTTCGTTCCCAAAGAGCTGCTGTTTACGGTTGCACTGTGCACTGGGCACCACGTGCGGAACCGACGGTTCTCTTGCGAAGGGTCTTGGATTCTGAAAGGAGCCGATCAGTTGAGGACCGGGTTGCCCTGCGAAGCGGATCTTCCGCTGAGTCAAAAGAGAGATCCCGAATCACCTTAAAAGTGAGGCTGGCCTATTGACTCGGGCATGCGAGTATGATCTTTCTGGAGGTTGCCGGTGATGAGACTCTATGACACTATATGATGCGTGCCTCGTTTTCCATGTCAGGGGTGGCCAAAGGACCAAGAGATCGGCGAGATCACTGAATCTCTGCAGCATTGGTCTTCAGAACACGAGAGAGGCACACATTGTTTCAGAATGCCTCTAGACTAGAGACGTTGAGTGCCCCGCGAGACGTTGCCTTCTGTCACATTGCTTCTTTGCAAGCTGTGGCAGAAATAGTGCGCCTGTGTATATTAATGAACCACCCTCTCAGAAGCAAGCTCTATTGCTGCAGTCTGGACACTTTTTCACGGCCCTGTTCTTAGCCAATTAATTCTTTTGCTAGTTCTTGAAGCATTCTTGGTTTCTTCACGTTGTCAGAAGTTCCCTCACCCCTAGCGCTTTCCCGCGCTGCTTGCGTTTTTTCAGGTCCTCTTGGTTGAGCCTTTGGATCGAGAAGTCAATTCCGCTTGGGTTCTGCGGGTGTTGAGACTCCAAGTACGTTCAAATCTGGTCACATTCTGGAACCAAAATCCAATCCCACAAAAGGGCGGTTTCAATGCCCCCCCCTCTGATCATTTCACTGTTCACTGCTCTGCATCTATTCACAGCGGAAGGTTCATGCCGACAGCTCCTCTTTCTCACGCGTCTCAGCATAGCTACCACCCTCAAGCAATGCTTCGCGAGGCACCATGGGTCCATGGGTTTGGTGATTCAACATCCAGAGACCGGGGACTCCGGCGATCGTTTTCTAAGACATGCGTGGCCTCCAAATCAGGTCCATACCATCTCGAGACGAGTTTGCTCTATGGTTCAAGGACTCCAAGGACCCTCCTATAGTGAAAGTCAGCGACTCTGGGGTCAGCTCAGAATGAAACGCCGGAGCGAAGCAAACGAGAAGAACCACAAGCAGTGCCCCCTTTCGGGTCAGTGAAAAAGGAATGAAAAGGAGCACGTCGTTGTGTCGTTCATGATGTAGTTCAATGAGCCCAAAAGGCTCACTCCTTCGACCCAACCTACTATAGCGATGGCCTCCAAGCCCCGTTCGTAGCTTCTTGTCACATTTGTAGTAAGAATGCTCCTAGTACTATGGCCAGGAGCCCCTAGTAGCTTATTTCTTCCCAGAACTCCAAACCATCCGAAAGGTAAGTCAAGCGGCTCTCGCGGCTGCTACTTTGGCACCGCCTCAACCGAAAACCCCAAAGTGTCTCTCAAAACTCTACGGCACATTTATGGCATGGCATGACGCCCCTCAAGACTCAGCACAGTCAAGGTAGAGAATCCGAACACGAAAAAACGAAGAACAGTCAGTTGCTTCATCTCCAGCAACCGTTCAGAAGATCTGCCTGTCAGCCAAGGCACTTTAGTCTTTTCGTATGCGAAACCTCAGGAGGCGAAGGTGAGTCCGGTCAAGCACATGTCCCCTACTGGTCAACTGTTACCACCTGAATCCATCTGATTCTCTGATTGGTGCAAATCTTCAACCCCATCTATATCCATCTGTACCAAAGGTGCTCACTTTCCAAGATTCACCTCCGGCGCCCTTCAAACGAACGCGGAGTTCACCAAAACAAAACAATTGGCCTTTCTTTTCCAGAAACTTGCCGTCGAGGTGCCCGCAGGAATGCAAAGCAAGAGGCCAACACGACCCATCAGGTTGGAATTCTGGCTCCAAACCTGGCAAGCATGCAGAAGGTTGGAGGCCATCGCTCCTAGGTTGGAGGCCATTGCTCTTAGGTTGGAGGCCATCGCTAGGTGTCGGCCCGAGTACCTCCCAGCTGGTACACCTGGTCACACTGA